ACATCCTAGAGAAACTCAGCTGGGAGTTTCTCTAGGATGTAGCTGTTGGGCCTGCTCTTATTAGCCACTTCACTGGGCTATTAACCACAAGCTAGAATTATCCTAAGCTTCTGAATAGGTACTGTTGTATATCCAAAATCTGAACTGGCTTCATGTGTCACTATATTTTACAAACATTCTTTATTAAAATAATCTACCCCTTTGCTTAATTGTAGCAAATCTCATTATTGCCATGATAAAAATTGAAGATCACTCTTGATTAACCAAAGGAGTTCCATGCTTTCATTTCCGCTAGTTGTGTTCTCAATCCATGTACACTAGCAGTCCATTGGCCTAGACATATGTAAGAATGTGTTTGCATATATATCCTTGAAGAAGATTGCTAAAAAACAAAACAAAACTGCTTGCTCATTTTTCTTGGCAAGATATACTTAGTGTTATGTCAGCTGAACTGAATGAGCTGCTTGTCAAAAGCTTTATACCGGTTGCGATCCATCACTGAACCATTATTATGACCTTGTTGTGGTCTGTGATAATAAGCGGGAGTTTTCTAAATGAATGATTTTTATATCAAAAGGAAATAGCATTTTGGAGGAAGATTCCTAATTAGAATATGGAATAGGTAAGCCAAGTGCAATAGAACGGTATATTTTCATTTAATATTATGGTCAAAATGCACTTGGAAAAGGCATAAACTTAGATAGCAAGAAGAAGAATGAAGGACAGGGACGAAGGGAAGTTAGCTGAATAGACTATGTTCCATGATAGATTATCAATTAATGACTGCCCCTGAACTCAAAGTCATCTCATCTTTTACTTTATCTACGCCAGGGGTGTCAAACACAAAGCCCATGGGCTGCATCCGGCCCACGATGTGGCCTTTATTAAGGGACTCTGAAAGAGATCCAGAAACCATGACTTGTGTGTGTTTCCCTATTTTTATTATTTTTCAAATACAACTTTTTTGTTTTAAACCAATAAACACTCTAGTGTCATCTATCTAATCCCCTAGTAGCCAATCATTTGGGAAGTCCATAAGCAATTCATTAGAACTTTCCCCCTGAGTCTCTAATGACTGGAAGTTAGAAGCATTTTCGGATCTTTTGAGTAGCATATAGCCATCTCGACTCTGGATCACTGAAAATTATTCTAATTGCCTTTCATGGCTGTCTAAACCTGTGTCCTAATTTCCTAATTTACTCTTCATTTGCTTGATTGCACTACTTCTGCAGAAATGCTTCACAAGGAATAAATATGAAAGATTTCTGAAATAGGAAATAATAGGAAAAAAAACCACGAATAAGCAGGGAATTAGTTTAAACTTTAAACTAAAAAAATTAAGTATACTTTATAATAATGTAAGTACTTGTCGTTAATTGGTCCCAGGAGGTGCGATGAATACCAAAAATGATGAGTACGAAACACATTGTTTCTGTAAGGAATAATGTAGAGAGTCACAAGGCAGCTGACAAGTTCTAAATCATACATTGAGTACTAAACAAACAATGAGTACCAGGACAAACCTTTCACATCAAAATGTGTTGAGTACCAAATTTGATGAGTTTCAAAGCACTTGAGTACCAAGGTAACACTGTACTGCATATGCATAGTGGGGATGAATCAAACGCTTCTTTGGAAAAATAAATGGAAATGTGAGATATAATCATAAGGAAATGTTGTAACAGGAGACAATGCAAAGCAATCAGCGAGGGGTAATATGTGAAGCTGTCTCCGACTACAGGAGTAAATCACAATCAAATTTAGAATGCACACTGCTCCTATGTATTGGTTATGGCCTAAAATGAATGGAATGAATATGTCTGTATTTGAAGAACTTGTGTTTGAATCCACCGGACCGTTTCGGTGAATGCTTCTCTTCCATTTATTCAGCAGCATATTTCCTAAAAGAGCATGTGCTGTTTAATAATACTAGGTGTCTTATGAAGGATGCTTAAAGTTACTTCTGGATTAAGGTCTTGCAAAAAGAGGTATTCATATTTTTATTCCTTTGGATTTTGTTCTGATCAAAAAACAAACCCAGTGCTAATGAATACGCCAAAGTCTATATGCATTTTTTCCCGACATACTGAATTACTGTGGACTCAATGTCTTTGATGGGTTTTCCTTTGTTACTATGAAACAGAAGTATCTTGCTGGAATAACAGGTTAACAACATGTCCAACTACTGATAGCAATTAATACTGATGAATGTAGGAAAAAAAAAACATGGGTGTTTAGGGAACTGCTACAAAAAGAAATCTAAATAGAGTTATACCCCATTGTTGTGGATCAGTCTTGGTAAAATGCAGATATTTTAATCATGGGAATCTTGTGTTCAAGTTCCATCTGGCTGCAGGTACTGATATAAAGTATCTCAGATGCTTCAGCTATCTGTGTCATCCAATACATATAGATTATGTGGTAAGAATCAGAAACGGATTGGTGTGGATAATCCAGTCATCAATTAAGTCACCAAGGTAATGTATGAATTGGATTGTCTTCTTATAGAGGTAATCCTCACTTAGCGACTAAAGTTGAGACTGGCATTTCTGCTGGTAATTGGTATGGTTGCTCAGCAGGAAATCATGAAAGCGTGACTGACTTATGACATCACTTCTCATTTGATCATGGCGGACCAGCACGATCATTAAGTGAAACATCACATGAACACAATCTGCAATTTTACTTCTGCATTCTCCATCAACTCTACTTGTTGGAAACCCATTGCACTCACATAACCGCAGGATGCTGCAATAGTGGTACATGTGAAATGTTGCCCCCCACCCTCAAGCTGTTTTCTTTTACACTGCCATAACTTGAACATTGTTTAATGAGGCAGTTGTTGAGTGAGGACTATCTGCATCCAAATCGGTGGGAGTCACCTGAGCTGAATTTCCAAGCCATTGCTCTTGTTTCGGTATGGGTGATATTGCTCTGATATTATATTGCCCTGGAAAGGAAACACAAAGGTTGTCAGAGATTTCATAACTTCTGAATCTAGTTTGTTATCTTTAGACAGCAAGATTCTGAGAAAAGCTCGGAGTGGGTTGCGAAAGACGGTGGGGTGGGATCCTGCAGCACTTGTTTCCTTAACTCTCTCTGCTCAGATATTGACCAGTGGAATAAGGTAATTGAACAGCTTGGAACTCCCTGTCCAGAATTCATGAAAAAGCTCCAGCCCACGGTGAGGAACTACGTGGAAAACCGGCCTAAATATGCTGGCCTCACTTTCCCTAAACTTTTTCCAGACTCTCTTTTTCCAGCTGATTCAGAACACAACAAACTCAAAGGTAAGAACAACAGAGATGCGCGAAGCATGCATGGACTAGGACAGGAGTGTCAAACTCTAGGCCCGGTGTGCAGGGTGCTTAGATCTGGCTCATGAAGCCACCCCGGAAACAGTGGAGGACTGGCCTGCGGTGCCTCTATCGGTGAAAATGGAGCTTTCACACACACGGCCCTCCCAAGCTCCGTTTTCACTGGCAGGGGGTTGCAGGAGGCCGTCGCAGCCAAAAATGGAACTCGGGAGCCTGTTTTTGATGGTAGAGCACTCAGACCTCCATAAGCACCCCCAACACAAGTGATGTCAAGCTGGCCACCCCATCTTGGCCACCCCCCCTACCTGAGGTCAAACACAATCCTGATGCGGCCCTTAATGAAATTGAGTTTGACACCCTGAACTAGGTCAATGAGGGCAAGCTTGCTTTGCATTAGAAATGTAGTTATTGCATTTACATCCAAGACTCCCACCGGGGTGAAACCCATGGCAATATATATGGGATCAACCAGACTGTCTCCCTTCTGGTCACTGACTGGATGTGGATCTATGAAGCTTTACAAAGTGTCCTGCCTCGTGTCAGAGGAGCATTGTCAAATACATATCCCACTTCTGCTGAGACCAATGTTGAGGAAAGGGTCACTGACACAATTTCATTCCCTTTCTTTTCAGCTGTGATGACCCGGGGCGTGGCACAAAAAATAACCAAGTCACAAAAATAGAAGAAAGTCCTTTTAATGCCTCCAACTTGGCCCCAGTGTCCAATTATCCTCAGCAGGATATCACACTTTTAAAGAAAACAGTTTATGGAGGGAGTAAATGCAGTCCACACCCAAAGTAAAATTAATTTGAAATAAAAATCCCAACACACCACACTGAAGTAAATACTACGGCAGGCAAGGATGATTAATTGCAGACTTCTACCAGATAATGCAGCAAGCACAGTTGGGAGGAAGTCAAAACACAGATAAGCTCCGACAAGAATGCACACTTTGCTTCCAGCAACTTTGCCATGCGCAGTTGGTCCTTTTAATCCTCCCAACCAATCCTCCCAACTGCAGCCCATGAAGGGGATCAGGGCCCCTTCCTCCCCCATAGACCATGCCACTCATGTTTCTCCCTTATCCATTCCTCCCTGCATGGCCTAGGATGAAGAGAGGATGGGCCTTCCTCTGAATGCCCATCCAGCCTGTGCCCTTCCTCAGTTTCCTCCACAACCACCAGAGCCACACTCCGACTCCCTGTCAGCTGTTCCATCTCTCCCTCGGAGTCAGACAGTGGCATGACATCAGCCTTTAAAAAATATTTACAGGTAGTCTTTGACGTATGACCACAATTGAGCCCAAACTTTATGTCACTAAGCAAGACAGCAGTTGGGTTTTTTTTTTTAAACTTTATTTATACATGTTTTTTCTTCTTTAAAATACATAAGTGCTTAACAAGACAGTTGTTAATGGAGTTTGGCCCCATTTTATCACCTTTCTTGCCACATGTGTATCACTGTAGTTGTTAAATTAGTAGCATGGTTGCTAAGTGAATCTGGCCTCCCTATTGTCGGAAGGTTGCAAAAGGTGATCACATGACTCTGTATAAGCCTCATAAATATGAACCACTTACCAAGCATTTGAATTTTGATCACATGACCACGGGGACATTGCAGTGGTTGTAAGAGTGAAAGCCAATCAGATAAGTCACTTTTTTCAGTGCTGTTGTAACTTCGCAGGGTCATGAAATGAATGGCTATAAGTTGAGGACTACCTGTATACTGATGTACCCCAAATGATCTAAATCAGGGGTCTCCAACCTTGGCAACTTTAAGCCTGGCAGACTTCAACTCCCAGAATTCCCAAACCACCAAAGATCAGGGACCTCTGATCAAAATGGTGTTTTACATATCATATTTGAAAATGCTAAGCGGTGATGCAAGGTGGAGGTGAGATAGGTTTTTAATAAAAGTCAAGAGGGGACCATAACTGTGCTATCAAAGCCTTCCTGCCCAGTGGTAGGATTCTACATTTTTTCCTACCGGTTCTATGAGAGCGCGCTTCGCGCAGGCAGCACTCAAAAACCGCCTTCTGCGTCAGCGCTAGTGAGATGAGCTGCTTTTTAGTTCAGCTGAGGCGCAGCAATCTGCTCTGCTGCACGAATCAGCTGAGCTAAAAAACAAGGGAATATAGGCAGGGGTGGGATTCAAATTTTGTAACAATCGGTTCTGAGGGTGTGGCCATGTGACTGGGTGAGTGTGGCTTCTTCTTTTTTTTGCAGCACCCCCACTGTTTTTTGGGCCTCCTGGTCCTCAAGGCAGCCTCCTGGGGTGTGTGTGCATTTTTGCTCCCAGAAGTCTTCCCTGGGGCCCAGGAAGGGGAAAAATGGAGTCGGGGGGGGGGGCACGCAGCACTCTCCCATGCTCCGTTTTGGGGCCTCCTGCGCCTCAGGGGAGCCTCCATTTTTGCTCCCAGAAGGCTTTCCTGGGCCTCAGGAAGGAAAAAAAAAACTGAGCATTGGGGGGTATGCAGCACCCCCTGTGCTCTGTTTTGAGGCCTCCTGCACCTCAGGGGAGCCTCCTGGGGGGGGGTGTTTTTGCTCCCAGAAGGTTTCCTTGGAGCTCAGGAAGGAAAAAAATGGAAGGGTGGTGGTGGTGCGTCCCTCCTCCATTTTTTCCTTCCTGGGCTTCAGGGAAGCCTCCTGGGTGAAGCAGTAAGTAAGCAGCATAGCTGATCATAAGAACAGCTGATCATCGGGAGTGGGGGAAAAAAGAAATACTTTAAGGAGTGACTAGGAGGGGAAGAACACAGTCAGTCATGTTGGGCATGCACGCAATGTTTCACATGCACGATAAGGACTGACTGGGCGGGGAGGAGAGGGGTGGGCAGAGAGGGGTGGAGCCAGCCAGGGGCACGATTTGCTGGTTCTCTGAACTGCACAGGATCATAACCACCGGTTCTTTAGAACGGGTCTGAATGGTAGAATCCCACCCCTGAATATAGGACAGGGGGCAGGTGGTTGGGCCCAGTCAGAGGTGGTATTTGCCAGTTCTCCAAACTGCTCAAAATTTCTGCTACCGGTACGCCAGAACTGGTCCGAACCGGCTGAATACAACCTCTGTTCCTGCCCTTTTTTACATGCCTTGTATGCGGTACATATTTAAAGGGATGTTCTTTGCACAATTGTGGCCTCATCTTGATTTTTTTTTTTGATGTTCCAGGATGCGATAATGGCATCAGTCAACAATTATGACAGATTATCTTTTTCTAGTCTCCTCCCATACCTTTTGGTGATATATAGGTTAGTGTATCTACAAGGCAGGGATTATGCACACACACAGACTCATACATATACATGCATACTTGGTGCTGCCGGCCATAATTTCTTTCCTATTTTTACATACCTGTCACCAGAATAGGGTCATCATTGTGTCATCAAATGTCACTGGCTACAGGCTTGATTTAAAACCAGGCTATACGCTGATATGTTGTAGATAAATTTAAATGAGTGGTGAGAATGTCCTTGGAAATATAATTGCTATGTGAATATATGTGTTCATCATCTACTATTTTATCCCCATCTGTTTTTTTTTCCTGAAAATGTTTAATCCAAAGCTTCCAATTCCTACTATCAAAGGAAGGACAAGTAGGATTATTAAATATAACTACCGGGGATGGAAGTATTAATCTATACCTCTCCAGTTGTGCAGGGACTGGAAAATTCAGGGAGTTGTAGTTCCAACACATCTCTTGGTACCAGTTGGAGAAGGGTGGTGAAGTCTTTGGATTATATTGTTTAAAGACAAAGATGTGAATGTAGAAGAAGCCCAACAAATGGGGGGGAGGGGGGAGAAAGAGGAGTACAAATAGTATTATACACACTGATATATAAAGAAAACTATTATAATTACAATATGCATTTAAGGTTAGCAGTTGGAAGACAAGGATCATGTATATTCAATTGAATTATTATTGCTAGCATTGTATAAAAAGTATACAATACAAATACATTGTCCACAAAATATGTATAGTTGTTAAAGGAAAATTACAAATAAAACACACACACACACACACACACACACACACACACACACAAAGAAAAACACAAAATACTACTCACATATCATCACAAAATCTCCGGAACCGTAATCCTACAAACGTGAAATTCGGCACGTATATTCCTCTTGGCTTCTAGATGCTTGCTAAGAAAGGATTTTTCGAAATGACCATGAGATCATTAGTATTTCATATATTATTATTAACATGCTCTGGTGCTAAGGAGTTCAACTCCCCCTCCCCACCTGAAAAGAAATCTGTTCCAAATGCATATTTGGCATTTGCAGAGGAGAGGAGTTTCAGTTTCAGTTTCACAGTACCAAGCAACTTTAGTACAGAACAGTTGAGCTAAGCCATGCCTAGGCTCCTTGCTGTCTCCTTGCTCACACAGCAAAGACTTTCAGTTTCCAAACAGCCCTCAACTCTCTCACCCACTGACAGGACGCTAGCCAGATGAATACCTATGGATAGCAATAGCACTTAGATTTATATACTGCTTTATAGTGCTTTACAGCCCTCTCAAAGTGGTTTACAGAGTCAGCATATTGCCCCCAACAGTTTGGGTCTTCATTTTACCCACCTGGAAGGATGGAAGGCTGAGTCAACCTTGAGCCTGGTGGGATTCGATCTGCCAAATTGCAGTAGGAATAGCTTGCATTACTGCACTCTAACCACTGCGCCACGGAGGCTCCTTGGAAGTTGGTAGGCAGAGGCAGAATTTTTTTCCTTATTTTCTGCTCCAAAAACTTGCCCGATCACTATATATATATATATATGGATCTCTCAGAAAACACACACACACATATACACACACACACACACACACACACAAACACATAATAATCAATTCGTGTTATCTATTTGGAAAGGTTTAATTGTTGAGAGGCCCCTTACAGGCCTAAGCTGTAACTTGCATGACTCTCGGTATGAAACTTTGGTAGAAATTGTGAAGGCCAATAGTTCAAATGGGCTTGAATTGAATCTTGGTTAGTAGAAGGTGTTCCACCTTCACTTTTGGCAGGTTTGAAATATCAGTAATTGAAAACCACCTTGATAACCACAGTGCCAGATGAGATGTAGCCCTTGTCTGCAGAGATTTGAATAGAGATGATTTAAATGTAAATGAAATCCGTTGATTTGGAAAATAAACTTCCTAAGAAAATACAGATCGATGGGAAATGTTTTTATTTACAGCTCTGGGATCTACCAGCTTAAAATGTATATCAATTTTGAAGGCATAGATTCCTAAGGCTGCCTGCTGTGGCAATACAGAATGTTTGTTAATCCGCTACAATTTGCATGTCATTTATTTACACATATATTTATTTCCCTCATGATTCCTTCCACATCCAACTTCACTCCTGTGGTGAAACAAAAAAAAAGGAGGGGGATTAACAGGCGATTTAAAGCATAAAAAGATGTTTTTTTTTCTTTTGTTGCCTTCCTGAATTAAACTTGTAGATATATTTTTATGTGCATGAATTCTTCATCTAGTGTTAAAAAAAAAAAAGCTCCATCTCTCATAGCGATACAATCCAGGAACAATAAAGAAAAGTATCATTCAAAAAACTATTCCAACGAATACTTAAATCTTTGTAAGACTCAGTCAGGTTCGGGGTTGGTAAATGATACTACCTATCCCATGCAGGTTAGCCTAAGCAGGAATTCCCACATTCCTTACAATTGTATAATTCTTCTGATGCATTGCAATCTAAATTCTAGAGCAGCAAAAAGTCAGAACAATTTACAATACTTGGACTGCATGAAGGCTGCTTACCTATCTAATGGTAAATGGTAAACCAATTCACCTAGATCTGTTACTTCTTTCTCAGCACATCTGAACTATTTTGAAATCTGAACTAATGGACCCATCAGGGAAATTTGGGAATAGCACTCCTGAATGTGTGTGTGTGTGTGTGTGTAATGTTATATAAATAATAATTATTTTAGATATTTATTGTTCCAGCTTTCTTATATGCTACCCAGAGTCACTTGCGGTGAGACAGACAGCTATATAAATCTGATAAATAGGCACGTACACATTCACACACACAAATAAACCTGCATATTTTAGTTAAAAGAGTATGCAAACTGCATTAAGGAAAATGTATATTAGACAGCACTGTATACAAATATACGTATATTGTATACAACTATTAAAAAATAAAAATCCCAAAGTGATGTAGAAAAAAAATGAACTAAACAAAATAGGAAATGGAAAAAGGGGGACAATGACCTTTGTTCCTAAATCAGATATTCTAAAACATTAATTTTATAAACAGCTTCATCTTAAAATTGCTATTTCTGGCTTCCAAAAAGATCTAATTGAACCATCTATTAATTTTCTTGTTCTCTAGCAAAGGTGAGTTCTGCAGAACACCTTCAATATATGTATTGAAGCCACATAAAACTGTCTGGAACTTAGAGTCTAGATGCATTGATCTAACTACACTGAATATGGCATTGTAAGTCATTTCTCCATCCCTTCTTTCCCATACTGATGCATTTTCTGTTTTCATTGCTCCAGCTAGCCAAGCTAGGGACCTTTTATCAAAGATGCTAGTGATTGATCCAGCCAAACGGATATCAGTGGATGAAGCCTTACAGCATCCATACATCAATGTCTGGTATGACCCAGCAGAGGTGGAGGCGGTAAGTAGACTATTAGCTTTGAATAACTAGAACTTTGAATGTTTTAGTACTAACCTTCCTTGAACCCTCTTTCTGGTTGTTTTCTTTTTATTATTACAGTGTTAAGCAGCTCTTTTCAGGAGAATCAGTTGTTTCCCAAACCAATTATTAATCAGTGCCACATATTGTAGTTTATTATAAAACATTGGTATTGTTCTTCCCATTCCTTTTTTAAAAAAGTCTTAAAGTGGTTTGCGTTGTACTTTCTGTTCTCAACTTTCAGCAGATCTTAATATCAGTCTTCAATTGGTCTAGAACAGCTGTCATGTCAAGAAGTAGGGTCCCCAACGGCAGAGATGGGCAACCTATTTTCTAGACTAGGGGCTTACTTTTTTGTAGCCCTTAGAGTTCAATGACTGCATCATTATATTATTACCAATAAACGGTGACATTACTTTATGCCACTTTTATGATGAGAAACACAGGAAGCATCACAAAACTCAAATAGATTTAGTAGTTTAAAAAATGAAGAATTGGGGACCTTAGACTTAGAATAACTTTGTTGTCACTTTGAATGTACAGTAATCGGCATACATTAAACTGAAATTTCATTGCATACAGCTCTCAAAGGGTCACCACCTCCATTATAAACATGACAAAATAAATGAATACAAATTATGCATATGCCCACATATATTATACGATGCAGAGAAACAACACAGTTTAATTCAGATGCATGTATGTATATGGCGAGAAAAAAGCATCTTGCGAGGTTACCAGATGGATGGCATAGGGAATGAAGTTGTTACAGAATCTGGTAGTCCTGCTAGAAATACTTCGAAACCTCCTCCCAGAGGGGAGCAACAGAAACAGACCAAGAAGTGGGTGTGGGGGCTCTTTAACAATGCTTTGAGCTCTAAACACATAGCGCTTGTAAGCAGCTTCCTGAATGATGGGAAGTGAGCTTCCTGTGATCTCCTCAGCTGTCCTTACCACTCTCTGTATGGACTTTCTATCTGAGGCACTTCTGCTACCAAACCAAACAGTGATGCAGTTTGTTAAAATGCTCTCAATCAATGTAGGAAAAATGCTCCAAAAACCCTCCTTTCAATGACTAGCACCTAGGTACATTAAGACTTTCTCCTTCATGTAGAACCAGCTGTCTAGTCTGTAAATATCTGAGTAGATATGTTGAGAGTATCCCATAAGTGAGATTTGGAGGGCAGGAAACAAGATTGTCAATAGCACTTCATCCTGGAATTCAATTCAATAGTTTTATTTCTGGAGCTTCTTACAGTAAGTGAGAAAATGATGAAGACTGAGCTAATTTACTGGGCTTTAACTCAGAGACTTGCTAATACTAGATGCTGGTAGAGCAGTGGGTGGTTTCAATTTTCTTTATGGATTGGTTGTGTTGTTCTTAATAGATGCACCATAAACCACAGCGTGCTGAAGTCTGGATCTATAAGAAGGGTAGAATAAACAAAATAATAACACTATTATCTTCTCATTGGATGTTTGGCTGCCAGAGTGAGAATAAAAGCTTGGGTTTGTCTGCTGAAAAAGTTTGCTATCCTGATCAGTTGATCCAACTTTAATGTCTTACGTCTGCCTCTGCATTTCTGTGCACCTGAAAGATGAGTCCACCAAGATTTTCACTTAATGGCTTGAACGACCACAAGTCCCAAAGCCTTATAGAACTCACATATCAATGCAAGGCAGTTATAGTCGTACCAAGTCTACAAACCCACTTCTCTCACATAAATGATTGGGGTTTTATGGGAAACAAACAAAAGCATGACTTCTCTGCTTGTCAACACGTGGCATGCAGCTATGACTGGGTTTTACGTAGCCTCTGAGAAATATTCTAGGGAAAACCGTATTTCCCAGGAACGGCTTGCAATCTGGAATAGTAAGTAAATATTTCTAAGTGCCCCAGCGGGATTCTCTCTCTCTCTTTTTTGTAGTGTCCTCGCACTTCAGCTTACTGCTGCTCATAAGTCAGTCTTTATCCTCAGGTAGTTTCAGATTGTTCCCACTTCAAGGGATGAACCATCTCAGCAAGAAAGAGGCTAAGGGTGCAGTAGTAGATGCAATATAATGTTACGTGTAGATGCAGAGATGCCCCCAATTGCCTGAGGAAATGACAACCTTGAGGAGGAGGAAGGACTTCCAGGTGTTCAGACTGGATTTGGCATTTTGTCTACCTAGCGACTCCTTCCCAAGGATGTGGGAGAGGTAGAAGAGAAGAGTTGGAAGGAACCTTGGAGGTCTTCTAGTCCAACCCCCAGCTCAAACAGAAAACCTTATACATCATTTCAGACAAATGGTTGTCCAATTTCTTCTTACAAACTTCCGGTGTTGGAGCATTCACAACTTGTGGAGGCACGTTGTTCCATTAATTAACCATTCTGTCAGGAAATTTCTTAGTTCTAAGCTGCTTCTCTCCTTGGTTAGTTTCTTGTCCTGCCCTCAGGTGCTTTGGAGAATAGCTTGACTCCCTCTTCTTTGTGGCAGCCCCTGAGATATTGGAACACTGCTAACATGTCACCCCTAGCCCTTCTTTTCATTAAACTAGACATACTCAATTCCAGCAACCGTTCTTTACATGTTTTAGTCTCCAGTCCCCTAATCATCTTGGTTGCTCTTCTCTGCACTCTTTCCAGAGTCTCAACATCTCAACCCTCAATTTAACTGAGGGATAGTATCTTCAAATCTATTTTGTCCCCCCATCCTCTCCTGTTTCTTCTTCCTTTCATCAAAGTCTCTTTAGAGTATCTTAAAAAATAAAGGCCTTACAAACTAATAAAGGCCTTACAAAACACAAAATGGAGAAGATATTGAGGAACTGAAAGATCTGAATAATTACATAAATTATTTACAAAACACTTACCCTGGTCAACTGGAATAAAAATGGTTCTAGCAGAGCAAGAACCCAAATTTACTACACTCTGAACTGATAGAAGGACATGCCTAATGGACACGTTGATAGCTGATGGATAGAGAGGCCTCAGAGAGGCAGTTTTTCATTATCTCTGGTGATGATCCTGCTTCCCCTTGACCCTCACTGCAGTCCAGAGGAATTAGATGTCAGATCCTTTGCCTGAATTATTCTAAGGATGTGCCCATATGATGAAAGATCAGAATGGTCAACCTGTAAGGTTGGTGGAAAGATTACTGGGTAATCTGATTCCGACAACAAGGTGGTAGAAGAAAATTCTTCATCCATAATGTATCTAGTAGGAATGGGAATCAGCATTGTCCTTCTTCAGTACTAAAAACCATCTAAGCATCATTAACCCTTTTTTTCCCTGGTGGCGGGAGAAAGGGAGAAGAGCAACCAGGGTGATTAGGGAATTGGAGACTAAAACATATGAAGAATGGTTGCAGGAACTGGACATGGCTAGTCTAATGAAGAGAAGGACCAGGGGAGACATGATAGCAGTCTTCCAATATTTGAGGGGCTGCCCCAGAGAGGAAGGGGTCAAACCATTTTCTAAAGCATCTCTAGGCCAGACAAGGAATAATGGATGGAAACTGAACAAGGAGAGATTTAACCTGGAAATAAGGAGAAACTTTCTGATAGTGAGAACAATCAACCAATGGAAGAGAAGTTGCCCTCGGAAGTTGTGGGAGTGCCATCAGTTGAGACTTTCAAGAAGAGATTGGACTGCCATCTGTCAGAAACGATGTAGGGTCTCCTGCTTGGGCAGTGGGTTGGACTAGATGACCTATAAGGTCCCTTCCAACTCTAATTATCTGTTATTATCTGTTATCTTTCAGGGGTTAGTACCCAGTTACAGGAGATGCAATGAATCACAGGAAGCTTCTAAGATCCCCTGAAGAGAATCTTATAATCTTTCTCAGTGTTTGTGTTGCACTGGGAATGAATTCATTAGTGTTTATGTGATGTTTAATTGCCATTTGAGATCTAGGAACTGTGGAGTACTGAGTTGTACGCATGTGTGCATGAATGCATGCGGGTAGTGGTGGGATTCAGCCAGTTTGCACCACTTTGGGAGAACCGGTTGTTAAGTTTCTGAGCAGTTTGGCGAACTGGTTGTTGGAAGGAATAATTAGGGCAGAGAACTGGTTGTTAATTTATTTGAATTCCACCGCTGCATGCGGGCACCTCTAATAATTTATTTTAGCATGTTGTAATAGAGTCATTCGATTTCCTATTTTTTTAGGGTTTGCAACTTTGTCTTCTTCCCACTATCTTTTTTTAAAGTAGTTTCTGAAGGCCTTCCTAACTATTCCACCAACAAGGGAAACTTAATAGCAAAATAAATCAATAAAACAACAATTTCTTGCAATTTTGAGTTGGAAATCACAAGAACCTCTCTGAAAATCTCTCAGAAACAAGTGGAATTTTTAGTGACCTCACCTTTTTGTTCCAGGGGATTATTTGACATGTGTGAATCCTTAAGGTTCTCTCCATTAGAATTGCTAAGAGATTGGAACTTGCTCCTTAACCTTTATTTACCTATATCTTAAATTTAATCTTATTTTGGGGGGTGGGGGGTGGAAGGGAGGGAAAATCAGTCACAAGAGAGTTGACATTTAATTACTTGCTTGCTTCCCAGCTTTTTCCATTCTCCGAATTCCCTAATTTTAATCCAACTTCCTATAAGTCTCTTCTATGTTTGATAAGGGAGAAAGTACCTGCGTTTACTTTATTCTAAGAGTTGCAGATGTTGTACTGTAATAAACATACCAAAAAATAAAATGAATAAAAACAACCTGCCGAACCTCTTCATTTGAGATAGAAATGAAAGGCGAGAAATGCATAACTTTGTAAACAAAAGCAGTGTTAAGTCAATTTAAAATCCTGGATACATACAACTTCCTTCTCTTGGGTCAAAAATGATAATGTTGATGCGCGATGTTCTGATTCTGGATGCCTTCAAAGAAGTGGCTGCTTCCTTTGGTTTTGAACTTAACCCTGATATTCAGACAATGTCCTTAGCTGACTATTTTTGATTTAAAGCAGGATAGTAGAGTAGAAACTCTGCCTTTAAGAATAGTCGGAGCCAACTATTAAGGTTTTAAATATAAACATCAACATTTCTTCCCCGTAGGTGACACTACCTTAGCAGAATTTTTCTGGCCTAGTAGCTAAGTAGGATGAATGGGAACCTTCCAGGAACCAACAAGACTGTAGATTAGATTGGGAAGTTGGAAGAAAACCTCATCCCTTAAGAAGACAAGTGCAAGCCACATCTGTATTCCTGCTAATAAAATTACATGGATGTGTTTATGAAGCCACTCGGACAGTGGTGGCTAATCTTTTTCGGCTCATGTGCCAAAAATTGTGTGCGCACTGGTGCACATGTGCTTACATGCCAGCACCCAGAAGGCAATGTGTGCCTCCATGTCCCCTGTGCATGTGTGTGCAATCCCCACTGCTGGCCCCCCACACTGCCGCCCCCTTACCTGTACTGCAGCTGATTTTCGGCCAGTTTGAGACCTTTTTCAGCCTCCCAGAGGCTTGAAAAAAGCCTCTGCAGGCTTTGCAGGATGAATAATAGGCCCATTTCATCACTTCCAGTATTACAGGAAGTGATGAAATGGACCTATTTGGTCTGAAAAGCCTGCAGAAGCTTTTTTCAAGGGAGGCCAAAAAAGGCCTCAAACCAGCCGAAAATCAGCTGTGAGGCATGCGCATGCGCAGTGAGGTAAGTTTGCCTGCAGCTCGAATGCCGGCACAAATGGCTCTGTGTGCCACCTGTGGCACATGTGCCATAGGTTCACCACCACAGCACTAAGATGTATGTTTTCAGTTGACAGAGATTTTAATACTTTTAATAGGCTAGGAATAATGAATAGTTAGACAAAGGAAAGTTGTTCTGTACAAATTGGTTTAATGTGGCTCCACCTAGCTGAATCATTCAAAACTCTAGCAGTCAATTTTGAACACGATAAGGGCTTTTGCAGTGTGTTCAAGGTCAGTCCCTTTGTGTATTGGTGCTTCATAACTCCATAAGCTATAAGAGGATTTCATCCTAAGATGTGGTGGGGGGAGCTTGAACTGTTAGTTTGATTTATTGTAGCTGTTCAGGATCTCATAGTTTTAGTTTTTGGTTAATGCATTCTCTTTGTCTTTCAGTGATCATTAGAAACAGATAAATCAAATGATAATACTTTGTGCAAATCTGTCATCTTAAACCTTCACTTTTCTGATGCTATTTCCCACAGTGCCTGTCTAGGATGTATCCACCATTCTTTAACACTCAGCAGAAATGCCAAAAGGGTGGCTTAGATAAATTGTGTGTAATGATAGAGGTCAGAGAGCATGTGACTGAAGAACATTGTTTATTTTATTTTATTTATTTGATTTGTCAATCACTTACAAGATAATAGGTATAAGTATATACATAGTTATGAATACGTGAAATGGGTACATATAAGAAAAATAAAAAGAAACAATAGGACAGGGATGGTAGGCATGTTGGTGCGCTTATGCACGCCCCCTACAGACCTCTTAGGAAAGGGGTGAGGTCAATAGTAGACAGTCTAAGGTTAAAGTTTTTGGGGTTTGGGGAAGAAACCACAGAGTCAGGTAGAGTATTCCAGGCATTGACCACTCTGTTGCTGAAGTCATATTTCCTACAATCAAGTTTGGTGTGGTTAACCTTGAATTTGTATCTATTGTGTACTCTTGTGTTGTTCTGGTTGAAGCTGAAGTATTCATTGACAGGTAAGTCATCGCAATATATGATTTTATATACCATACTTAGATCAGACCAAAGACGGCATAATTCAAGGTTTTCTAGGTCTAGAATTTCAAGTCTGGTGGCATAAGATATTCTACAACGAGTAGAGCAGTGGAGAACACTTCTTGTGAAATATTTCTTGACTTTCTCAACTGTGCTAATATCAGATACATAATGTGGGTTCCAGACTGATGAGCTGTATTCGAGTATTGGTCTAGCAAATGTTTTGTATGCTCTAGTTAGTAGTGTGATATTACCAGAGAAAAAGCTACGTAGGATTAGGTTAACAACTCTTAATGCCTTTTTGGCTATGTAGTTACAGTGGGCTCTAGCACTTACATCATTAGAGATGAGTATTCCAAGGTCTTTTACAGAGCTTGGATCATCAACAAGGTCTTGACTATTCAGCTTGTATTTTATTTTCTGATTTTTTTTTTGCCAATATGTAAGACAGAGCATTTATTTGTTGAGATTTGAAGTTGCCATTTGTTTGACCATTCTGATACATAGTCAAGATCTTTTTGAAGGGTAGCAGTATTGTCTGTGGTATTGAACAGCTTTACATCATCAGCAAAGAGAACACAGTTGCTCTTAATATGATCACAGAGGTCATTTATGTAGAGTATGAAGAGAGTTGGTTCTAGAACATTGCCTTGGGGGACACCACTATTGACAGGTACAGAATTTGATAGGACACTCCCAATTTTGTCCATTTGTTCTCTGTTTGACAGGAATGCTTCTATCCAGTTATGCAGTTGTCCAGAGATACCATAAGATTTTAGTTTTAGGAGTAGTTTGTCGTGTACCACTGAATCAAAGGCTTTACCGAAGTCTATGTAGATTGCGTCTATTGCTTTGCCCTGATTGAGTTGTGTAGTCCATATGTTTTTGCAGTGTAAGAGTTGCAGATTACAGGATAGTTTTTTTCTGAAACCAAATTGTTTATTGGAAAGTAGGTTGTTTGTCTCTAAGTGGAGGATAATGGATTGGTTAATAATTGATTCCATGACTTTACAGGTGATGCAGCATAAGGAGATTGGTCTGTAATTTTCAACTAGGCTGGGGTCTCCCTTTCTGAAGATGGGGATGACCGTGGCTTGTGACCATAGGTTAGGCAAGGAGCTGGTCCTTAAAGATTTTTCAAAGATTATGCTTAGAGGTTTGGCTATGGCAGTGGATAGCTTTTTTAAGAAGTAGGCACATATTCCGTCCGGTCCAATAGATAGAGATGGTTTTAGATTGCGTAGTGCTTTTTCAACATTGTCTTCTGTGAAATCGATATGTATTAGATCATTGTAGTTTTCTGTGGTTCGGCTAGAAAATACTGGGCATGATCCATTGCTGTTTACAAATACTGAGCCAAAGAATGCATTAAAAATGTAGGCTTTAATGATGTCGTCGTTGCAGTCTTTACCATTAGGTCTTATCAGGGGTGAGGACCTTGA